TTAATGGCATATCCTTTCACTTTTTTATTATTTTATTTTAAATATTTTATTTATTTATTCATGAGAGGCAGAGACACAGGCAGAGTGGGAAGCTCCATGCAGGGAGCCCCACGTGGGACTCGATCACAGGACTCCAGGATCACGCCCTGAGCCCAAGGCAGATGCTCAACCACTGAGCCATCCAGGGGTCCCACCTTTCACTTTTTTTAAAAGTAAACTCTACACCTGATGTGGGGCTCCAAATCATGACCTAACCCGGAGGTCAAGAATTGCATGCTCCACCAACTGAGACAGCCAGCACCCCTTGTCCTTTCACTTGTTAATAGTATGTTTGGATTTAGAGAAGTTCTTAATTTTAATGAAGTCACATTTGTCAAACTTTAAATTTATGGTTTGTGTTTTTTGTCTCTTATTTGAGAAATTTTTTCCTACTTTGAGCTCATCAAAACATGCTATATTTTCTTCTAATGTTATGACTTTGTTTTTAGTATTTAAGTCTTCCGCCAAAGTGGGACTGTTTTGTGCAGCGCATGAGTTGGGGATAGAATTTCATTTTTTCTATATGTATTTATCAATTGCTTATATTCCATGTATTGAGCAGTACATCCCTTCCCTAATCATCTGCAATGCCTGCTGTGTCATGAATCAAGTGTCCACGTAAGTGGCCCTTCCCTGATCCATTGGTTTGTCTATTCCTGTGTTGACACCACATTGTCCTGATTACTCTGGCTCTGCAATAAAGTCTCCATATCTGGTCATTTTTCCTACCTTGTTCTTTTTGTCTTGCTTTTTTTTTTTTTTTTTTTTTTTTTTGCTATCCCATATACATTGTAGAATCAGTTAATCAAGGTTCATGACAAACTCTGTTGGGAATTTGATTAAAGTTGCATGGGATCAGGATGCAATCAGTTTGAGGTGCCATTACAACTTGAAAGAGACTTTTGCAAAAACAAAAACAAAAACAAAAAACTGGACTCTGGGGGGCTCTTAAAAACCCAAGGGCCAGGAACAGTCTCTCGTCATCTTGGAGAGCTTTTGGATCTTTTCTTCTAGCCGTCCCTACCCTGCTCCCCACCGTCTTTGACGGAGACATACAGACGGAGGAAATCAGAGTTGTAACTAAAAAGTGATAAAGGGTAGGTACGCGGTGGTTTTCTGGGTCACTATTTTCCCTGTTGTGGTCTCTTAGGGACATACTATTTGGAGAACTGGAATTGAAAACGTAGGGGTTGGGAAGAGAGACAGGGTTGAGGAGGGAGCCGAAGCGAGGATATGCCGCTGGAAGAGAGGACTGTGGCTCTGCTGGGGGCTGAAACTGCTGTTTCTTCTGCCCACTGGGCTCTAGAGCTTAACGGTGAGAATCCTGAACCCGGGGGGGGGGGGGGCGTCGGGAAAGACCTGAGAGAGAAGGGGGCGCAAGAGCGTGGAAGAGAGTTAGTTCCTGGGTGGGTGCGCACGTGGGGGATGAGGTGAAGCCCTGGCGGGGCGGGGCGGGGCGGGGCGGGGGAGCTGTTGAGGGCTCGCCCCGCGGACGGAGCGGCGTAGGCAGGCAGCAGAACGTGATGGGTTAATAGGAGGCAACAGTAGTCCACTTTAAGTGAGATAGAGCTGGAGAGATAAGTAGTGTGGTCTGATTGTGCAAGGTCCTGAATACCGAGCTAAGGACTCTGGACTTTACCCTGGGATAGCAGTGAAGGCTCCTGAACCGGGAGGAACTGGACCTGAGGTCCGCTTCAGCAGGACGACTGTCGCCGCAGCCAGGCGGGAGCCCGCGGCTGCGTGGGGGGAGGCGGCGCAGGGAGAAGAGCACGGCTGCCTGCAGGGGGCGCGCCGCCGGCCCAAGCTCCCTCCCCGCCCCCTTACCCGCGGCGCGGGGGCCGTCGCGACACTCTCGGAACTCGGCTAGCCCTCCTGGACGCGTCGCACTCGGGCCTCGGCTAGTTTGTCGGGCGCGCCCCCGTGCGTCACGTCCGCTCTGGCTCAAGGCTCTTTAGGGCTGGGGAGGGGCGCGGACGGAACCTCTGCGCCTGCGCCGCCGCGGGGGCCGTCGGCCGTTAAGGCTGAGCGCCCCCAGGGAGTTTTCGCGTTTCCACTAGACGCGTGTCCGTGTCTCCCGCGGTTGTCTCGTACCGCTGCACGGCCGTAAGGTGTTTTGATTTGTGCCAAGAGACACAAGCAAACGGCGCGGAGGGGCTCGGTTGCTCCCCGACCTTAGCGGCGCCGAGCCCAGAGCCACGCCCCTTAGGGCTCCGCTGAGAAGCGTCGAGCCTCTGCAATCCTCCTCCAGCTGCTTGCTCTCAGTCTGCGGCCAAAACGTAGATCTAAGCTAGTGAAAACCTGCTCTGGCCGTTAAGCATGCTCGTGCCGGGCTGTAACCCATGTTTCAAGAGGGCTTGTTTACCTCTGCGGTCAAATCAGAGACTCCCAAGTTGTAGGGGACTCCAGAGCTAACCTATTAACCCCGGAATGTACGGTTTTTATTGGCACCACCCCCACCCCCCGGCCCCGATGACCGTCTGTGTTTCTGGGACGACTGTGATTCGGTAGCCTTCCTCGAAGTTCCCTCCAAGTCCCGTTCCTTTGAAAATATCTGTTGAGCACCTGTGCGTGTCAAGGACTGTAGGTGGTGGCGATACAAGGATGCAACAGAGAGGTTGAGCTCTTGGAATGCACTCTAGCGGCTGTGATGATGCTAGCAAGGGAATAAGCAAGGTTTATGGCGAAACACAAACATGGTTTATAGGTGGGAACAACTTGGCGTGACGGGAGAAGGGCTCTTGGAGGTGGTAACATTTGTAACCAGCCAAGTGGAGAGTTAGAAGCAAAGTGAGTTTCAGGTTGAGGGAAGCACAGAGCTCCTGAAGCAGGAAAGGGTTTGGTGTTTTCTAGGAATAGACAAAAGGCTAGTGTGACTTGGGAGTGTGGTGAGCCAAGGTTGAGAATGTAAAACGGGGGCCAGGTGCAGACTTTGCGGGTCGTGGTAAGAAGTTTTTGAAAAGTAGGCTAAGAGGGGGCGCCTGGGTGGGTCCCTCGGTTAAGCAGCCCGCCCGCCGCTGACTCTCGGCTGAGGTCGTGATCTTCCCACAGCGGAGCCCGGGTGGGGCTCTATGCTTAGCAGGGAGTCTGCTTAGATTCTCACTGCTTCTCCCTCTTCCCCTCCTCCGCGAGCATGTCCACGTACTCTCTCTAATAAATACTCTTTTTTTTTTAAAGTATTCTAAGAGCAATGGGAAGCCAAGGAGTAAGTTGAGCCAGAGGCTTGATCTTAGTTCAATTGTTTAGAATCACACAAACCATATTACATATCCTATGATTTTTCCATGTTAGTCCTTTCATATCATATTTGAAGATGGCTGGCTGAGACCCTTCTTTCCCCTGAAACCCCCTTCTCCTGCCCCCAACTCCTCTAAAAGCTGTGATTCCTCTATCTCCATCTTACCCACAGGATGTATGGATGATTTTCAAAATGTCCATTGAGAATACTTTGAAAGTGTCAAGGACATTAAAATGTAAATTGCGCGTACATTTTAAAAGGGAAAGACCTAAGGCTTTTCTAAGAGTTTGGCGAAGAGAGGTCTTGTAGAGATTAGGAACTATAACTGCTTTAACGTTTTCATCTATGTGATCCTATTTATTGTTCTCTGGAATAGCAGTGTCCAGTATCAACTTTAACCAAAGCTAGTTCTCTAAACTGTCTCATCTGTGAAATGAATACAATGGGATTGCTATGAGTATTAAACGAGATTATGCTCAAAAAGCGCTTAATGGTAAACCGTGAGGGCCAGCCACACAGTGCCGTTGTTAAACACCTGCATCCCTGAGATGAAGAGTTTGTAGATAATGCTCCTTTAGCGCTCCCCAAACATTCACTAAGTGCCTATTCTGTGTAGAGCCCTTAGTGCAAAAGATCTGCCTTGCAGGAGTTTGCTATCTAGTTGAGAGAGCCAGGAGAGATTACAAAACAGAGAAACCAGATGCCCCACGTTCTGGGACCTGGGAGCTGCGAAAGAGGTCTGTTTCCACGGAGGTGATTCTTGGCGTTCAAATTTAAGTGGCTTTGAAAGATGAACATATTGAACTCAAAACGCACACGCAAAATCTACACTGCCGGTACGCAATTTATTCTTGGTGATAAGTCTTGGGGTCGGGGGGAGAGACGTATGGGAAATACTGCAATCACTTCTATTATCCGACAAATATCGAGCAGTAGGTTTCGTGAGAAGAACACCTATCTTTTGTCCAGTCTGTTTACTATACGTTGCATGCTCTGGGCAGGTCTTCATGTTCAGGAACAAAGTACACACACACACACACACACACACACACACACTCACACTCACACTCACACGCCCCTTTCCGAAACTAAAGGCCGGGGACTCCCGAGAGGTGGGAGGCCTCGCGACCCAAGCACACAATGCGGGTTGCTTCGCGGTAGCTCGCACCCCACCCCGCAGGCCAGGGTTCGACTCCTCGGGGCCGTTTGGCTCCTCCCCTGCAGTCCTCGGGGGCGCCCTCCCTCCCGCGCGCTCCCCTCCTCCTCCGCTGGGGAGCCGGAAAACCCGGAGCGAACCGGCCCCGCTGGGCGGCGCATGCTCAGTAGCGAGCAGGTTCAGTTCGCTAGTAGGAAGCTGGAGCGCTACACCGGCGTCGGCGGCGGCACCTCCGGGCGGCCGGATCCTCCGACGACGACCTCGGGCCTTTCCCCTCCCCCGCTCCGCCCCGGCCCCGCTCCGCCCCGGGCCGCTTGCGTTTCGGGGTCCCCGCCGCGCGGAGCGGGCGCCGCGGCCCGAGTGTCCCTCCACACGCCCTCCCCCAGCCGCCGGCTGCGCCGCGGGGCCAGGCCGGGCCCGGGAGCGTAGCCCCGGCGGGCGGCGGCCGCGGCGGAGGGCAGCCCGGGGCGGCGCCGGCGGGCCGGGGAGGGGCGGGGGGCCCGGCCCCGGGGCGGTGGTGCGGGATGCCGCCGCCGCCGCCTCCGGCTCCGGGCTGCGTTCGCTGTCCGCCGCTGGTGCCCGTGTCGGGTGGCTGGCCGGGCGCGGGCCTCGCCCGTCAGCCGCCTCTGCAGGGCTAGCCCGGCCGCGCGGCGCCCCGAGGGGGCCGGGCCGTCCGGTGGGGCCGCGGGCCTGTTCGGAGCTGCGAGCTCGCCCTCTCGCGGCTCCCCGGCCCGGCCGCCGCCGCCCCTCTCCCCGCCCAGAGGCGCCCCGGGGCCACCATGCAGGCGCAGCAGCTGCCGTACGAGTTCTTCAGCGAGGAGAACGCACCCAAGTGGCGGGGGCTGCTGGTGCCGGCGCTGAAGAAGGTGAGGAGCGCGCGCGGGACCCTGCTTCCCGGCTTGCAGCCCCCGCGAGGGCGCGGGGCCGCGGCCGGGGAAGGGCCGGGGCCGGGGCAGGGCCGGGGCCGGGGCAGGGCCGGGGCCGGGGCCGGGGAGGCGGGGCGCGCGCTGGGCCGTCTTTCTTCCCGGCCTCGGCGCCTCCCCGAGAGGACGGCGCGCACTGGGAGGCTTCCCCCACGCTCGCCGGCTCGCCGTTGACATTCACCGGGTGTGTGGGAAGGCCTCGGGAAGCCAGGCAGGGTTTGTCCGAATCATCCAGCCTCGGAGAGGTGAATGTCCTGCCCCCCCGACTCACAGGCAGGAGTTGGGGGGGGGGGCTCAGTTTGCAGCGGAGGTCAGAGCAGGCCACTTTTCCGCCTCGTCCGTCTTGCCCGGGGAACCGCTGTCAGCCCCCGGTTTTAGGTGTGCAGTGTGCTGTTTTCAGTGGGCTCGAGAACGCTCTGGCCGCAGCGCTGGCTCTGGGTAATTGCAGAGCTCGCCCGCCAGCCGGAACACGGCCTGCTTTGCTCGCCCTCTGTAATCACTCTTCATTCCCCCGGATTCCCCCACTGCTCCGGGGAACAGGGGCGGGTGCACAGGCTACTCCCTCCCCAACCCCCCCAGCGTCCGAGAATCTTCATTCTATCTTGCTCTGTTAATTTGGATTTTCAGCCTTTCTGTATTTTTTCAAGTTTGCCACATTGTTATCTAAAGTTGTACACTCCATGATCTGTGCTTTTAAAATGTTTTAGTACATTTAGGAATTGTTGCTACACTTTAAAAGCTTCTAAAGCAACATTGTGACTTAGTACAAACACCAAAGCGTCAGAAACTGGTGTGTTTGAATGAACATAAAAACGGTGTTTTTTTTGTTTCCCTTTTACCTTTTCTATAAATAGATTACTTTAGTAGTGTTTCTTAATCCCAATTTCTTGTTGCTCAAAAAATGTTTTTTATGTGATTAAAGAATATTTTTTCTCCTACTGAGAGTTGAGATTGTGGTGTACCTTTTGTTCTAAACATTTATACTTTTAAAAACTGTGTCTTAAAAGGTGCCTGATGTTTCCCAAAGGCCAGCAACTTTTACTTTCCCTTTTGCCCTACGCAGCATCCCCCCCTCCCCCAACAGCTCCTTGGAAGCTTACAGTGGAAACTATTTAGTTAGCCGAATTTGCTCATTTTTTTCAGATATAAATTACTGACTCTTTTTCCTTAAGTGTCTGAGTAAGTAACAGGCATCTCTGTGATACTGTTTTCTAAGAAAACTAGAGAGATGCCATATTCCTTATATACCTTATTCATTAGCTATCCCATCAGGGCTCTCAACTCTTTTTACTTTACCTGTAATCTTGGTGTCTTAGCTTATAAGAGGGGAGTAGGAGGTCTCAGTCGTGATAGAAGCCTGGTACTGATGGAGGTGGGGGGTGGAGTGGGGAGGAGACAGAAACATTGTTGAGAACATACAGAAGAACTCATAAAACCCAATCTGTTTGGGGCTGTTTGGCTTAGGAGCAAACAACTCCTGTCCCAGGGAACCATCAAGATAGTCTGTTAGTTGAGGGTACTGTGAAGTAATGGAAAGAGCACTGTAGGAGTTGGCAGATCAAGTCTAACTGCCACACTGGTGGCCCTTGCTGAAGCATTTTCCATAGAAGCATTTTGTTTGGCTGGCACAGTGTTCTTTTACAAACTTTTAAATGTAATTAGTTGCCAGTATTTAAACGTGGGAGATGTTACGTAAAATCTGAATTTTCAGTTTTTCTTGAAGAATAGGAAGGTTTCTCCCCACTGGGCAAGACCGTAAACTGCTGGAGCTGAGTGAATGGCTTTCCTCTTTAGACTGGGCATGCATCTCCAATTTATCACAGTCCCCACCGGTCCTCGTTGCCTATTTACATAAACCTGCTTTGACTTGAAGCAGAGATAACCTTGCGTGACAGAAGTGATGGGGGGAGGTGGAAGTGTACACAATCTAGCTGATAAGTAAAGATTCTTCCAATTCTTATTTGAGATAGCCACTGCTCTTGACTCTAAGCCACCTAAGATGAGGTTGAAAATCTATTGGATATCTGGATGCGCTCCTGGCAGCTCAGAACCTGCATTTTCACCTGCTTGCTAGACATTTCATGTGGATAGCTCCCTATTTTGAACTCTTCCTTTAGACTTATTTTACTGTTTGCAGACATGCCCAACTTGTGTTTTCTTACCTGAGGCTCTGTTATGTTATTCTCTTAACCTGGACTGCCCTTTGCCTGGCCAACACTAACTCAGGTGTTTTCTCAAATCCTCAGGGCTGAGTTGGATAGTCTTTATTTTCTTTTAGCAGCAAACCCTAGCACTTCAGTGAGTTGTAAGTTCCTATTTAGCCGTCTCCCCCATCCCAGGACTAGATTGGATGGTCCTTGAGAATAGGAATGGTATTTTACCCCTCTTTTTACCCTTCACACATTCAGTGCCTGACACTTATCTAGTAGGCACATAATTTGGCTGAATGGGTGAGGGAATACCCAAACTAAAACCGTCACCTCTCTCCCTTACACTGACTATTTAAAAATTTCCTCTTGATTAGGGCTTTATTATTTTATTTGGTTCAAAACTTTGGAATCATTTCTTACTTCTCTCTTTTACATTCCTCCCCATACCCAGGCACAGCCTATAGGTTTATTCCCTTTTGACATGTTCTTCTAATCTGTTGCCTTCTACTCTGAGTCTCCTTTCCCACACTACTGTAGATAGCCTCTTAACTAGTTTACTGCCTCTTACCTTTCCCATATCTGTTTTTTGAGATTTCAGAAGTTATAGAACACTTCTGAATATGTTGCACTCTTGTTCTCAACCACTGATGTCAACGTGTAGGGGAAGGGAGAAAAGGGAGAAGCAAACTGTAAGAGTCTCTTAATTAACTACAGAGAACAAACTGAGGCTTGCTGGAGGGGTGGTGGGCCAGGGGATGGGCTAAATGGGTGATGGGGATTAAGGAGGGCACTTGAGCATTGGGTGTTACATGTAAGTGATGAATCACTAAAATCTCCTGAAACCAGTATTATACTATATATTAACTAACTAGAATTTAAATAAAAACTTAAAAACACGCACAAAAAAAAAACAATTGATAAATTTTGAGGGCATAAGATGAGGTACACAGTCTTTAGCATGGAATTGGTGGTGATCAGTGATCTGGCTTCATCCTGCTTTTCTGACTGGATTGCTTACCATAATATTTCATATTCTTTATGCTTCAGCCAAACTGGATGACTGCTTTTCCTGGATATGTGCAGAATGTTTCACTATATCAATCTAAGTCCTATCTTATCTATTGCACAAATATGTTATGCTTACTACAGACCAGGTAATGCCCTTGGCACTAAGGATAAAAAAGTAAATGACATCATCCAGAAATGACTAAGTTAGAGCAGGGTGGGAAGGGGCAGAGGATGAATTTGGAGAGGAAACTGGTTTATAGAGAAATTTTTTAATATTAAGTTAAGCAGTTTGAATTTTTTCTTGAGGGGATGAAAATTAGTTTGGAATTTTAGAAAATTCACTTTGGCTATAGAATAGAAAATGCATTGGAGAAGAATGAGACCAGAGGTAAGGAGAAAAGTTAGAAGGCTAGTTTAGTTTAGTAGTCCAGCCAAGAGATGATATACATTTGAATTAAGGGTGCATTTGAACTAAGATGGAGATGTAGGGATGGATTTTGAGAGATGTAGGGCACGTGATAAGAGAGCAGGAAGAGTCTTAAGTTTCTGGTTTGTGTACCTTTAGTCAAGACAGGATGGAGGAGGAGAAGCTCCTGGGGGTGGAGAGAGTGGCATAAAAACACATTTGGGACATGTTGATTTAAAAGATGGCTTATCCAGGTGGACTTGTCAAAGCTGGCAGTTGGTTGTTGGTATCTGCCACCGCAGATTTGGGACTGCTAGGGGTGTAAGTAAAGGCTTAAGAATAGATGAAGCCTTGGGACACTTGGATGGCACAATCAGTTAAGTGTCCGACTCTTGGTTTCAGCTCAGGTCATGATCTCATTGTCGTGAGATCCAGCGCAACATTGGGCTCCAAGCTCAGTGCAGAGTTTGCTTGAAATGCTCTCCTTTTTTTTCTGCCTCTCCTGCTTCTCTCTCAAATAAGTCTTTAAAAAAAAAAAAAAAGATGAAGCCTTTATCCATACAAAGACTTACACCTAGATGTTCGTGACAGCTCTATTCATGGAATCAACCCAAATGTCCACTAACGGTGAATGAATAAACAAATTGTGAAATAGTCATACATTGGAATACTACTTGGTGATAAAAAGGAATGAATTATTGACACAAATGACAATATGGCTGAATCTCAAAAATAATTAAGCCAGCTCAAAAAAGAGTATATACTATATAACTATGTAAAATTCTTGAAATTGAAAACTCATCTACAGTGACAAAAAGGTCAGTGGTTGTTTTTGGGGAAGGCTTTTGTGTTTATTTGTTGATTATACTGATAGTTTCAGGGATATATACATTTGTTAAAATTTAACAGATTGTATAACTCAGGTGTGTGGAATTTGTTGAATGAAGACAAAAAACAGGTTTTGAAAGAGTATTTTGGTTAGAGAGTCTGCATTTTTATTTTTATTTTTATTTTTTTGAGAGTCTGCATTTTTAAACACTATGCTATGCTACTTCTAGCAGGGGTGATGGCAACCTTTTTTCTGTGTTGGAGAGGAAAGAAATAAAGTTGGGTTTGTACGTTGTGGGGCAGGGAGTTCATGGCAGGTAGTCTCTGTTTTCATAATGAAACAAAAGGCAAGAATCTTTACATAGAGTGAGGAAAGAGAAATGAGTAAGGAGTTTAAGAAGCAGGGTGAAGTTTTGGAATTGCTGTTGGGGATTGTGGAGAAGGAGCCAGCCAGTGAATTAGAAAGGAATTGCTGAGCAGTGCTGAGTGTGGAGACCATAAACTTGGAGTATCATTAATTGGTCTGGTTATGAGATTTCCTCCAGCAGCAC